CTAGGTGTGAACCAGGTCTGGGTTCCAGGTCCTGAGCCCTGTGCATGGCTGTGCATGGTCCTGTTCTCTTGTGGGGTCTGTGTATGGAGATATGCTGTGGCCTAGGTGTGAACCTGATGTGAGTTCCAGGTCCTGAGCCCTATGCATGGCTGTGCATGGTCTTGTTCTCCTGTGGGGTCTGTGTATGGAGATTTGCTGTGGCCTAGGTGTGAACCTGGTGTGGGTTCCAGGTTTTGAGCCCTATGCATGGCTGTGCATGGTCCAGTTCTCCTGTGAGGTCTGTGTATGGAGGTACGCTGTGGCCTAGGTGTGAACCTGGTGTGGGTTCCAGGTCTTGAGCCCTATGCATGGCTTTGCATGGTCCTGTTCTCCTGTGAGGTCTGTGTATGGAGGTACGCTGTGGCCTAGGTGTGAACCAGGTCTCGGTTCCAGCTGCCAAGCCCTGTGCATGGCTGTTTGTGGCTCCAGTTCACATGTGGGTCTTTGTACGTGACTTCTGTTGACGTGTGGGTACCGTATGTGGAGCAATGTGCCTACGTGTGAACCAGTTTGGGTGTCTCTTAATCTACTCTTAATCTCTTTTTGTTTTCTCAGATTTTAGAAATTTTGATTGTTCTTCTTTTTATGATTTTTAACATCACAAACTCCTTATCTGAGTTTGTATATTCTGTGTGTGCCCCTCTTAAGGTCTGAAGTGACACTCTCATGTGAAGCTGGTGAGGGGAAAGCATGTCACACGGTGACCGCGGTGATGAGCAGTGTGCATCCCCTCTCTGCCTGCTCCTGCCTTTGCTGCCTGTTAGTGGTTGTTTTTCATTTATAGCCTTCTGAAGAGAGAAGGGAGGCTGTACTCTGCAGCCCACCCTCCTCCACACCATACAGCGGGTAGGGTCCCCTCTGGGCAGGGGTGGTGGCAAAGGCTGCACCCCCCCACCTACCTCAGTGCAGGAGAATTAGGGGCAGAGCTGGGTCCTACCCAGGAAGGCCCCAGCCAGACCCCCATAACTCAAGGTGCGGCATCGGCCGCACGGTGAGGAGGTAGAGGCGCAGAGAGCTGGGGCCAGAGATGAAGGTCGTGGAGCTTCGGGGAATGTGGAACCTCAGCCCACTCCAGCCTGCTGACTTTGCAGGTGGACACACGTGGGTGAGAGTCAAACACCTCCACCACGGTGCCAGGATGACCGGAATTCCCAGGGGCTACTGCTGAAGTGCCGGCATGGTGGACGCAGGCCTTGGCAGCTGATGGGCAGCCTGATATTGAGCTCCTTGTCAGTCAGATAGCATTTAGAGCAATTGGCTTTTATTTAGTATCAGTAACCTATGGGCTTTGAGGGACATTTCATAATCCAAACTAGAGCCACATTAAACACAATGAATAAATAATCACAGAGAACTGTTTCCCTAGAGCAACGTGAGAAGGCTTCTGAGCTGCTGCCGCTTCAGTCAACAGCGTTTTTCTCTCTCTCCTCTCGCCCAAGGCTGCCGTGGTGCCATCTGCCCAGACCCTCAAGATCACAGACTTCCGCTTCAGTGACTTCGAGCTGTCGGACCTGGAGACGGCCCTGTGCACGGTCCGGATGTTCACTGACCTCCGCCTCGTGCAGCGCTTCCAGATGAAGCATGAGGTGGGGCATCGGCCAGGGAGGCTGCGCTAGGCGCCAGCCTGGACAAAGGACTGCTGGGTTCCGAGAGGCTGTGTTTCCTCTGGGGCGTGGTCTTGCCAGGTTGCCCAGGCTGGCCTCAATCTCCCGCTGCCCGGCCTCCCAAGTCATTGGGTTTCCTTGTGTTTTAAAAGAAAAGACATTGTCCATCTAAAGACCCATGGTACGCACTGATCACTGTCCAGCTCCAGGCTGAAGGACAAGGGAGTGTTCTAGATGTTGGAGCTGGATGCAGAAGGCTGGGTAGTGGACAGGTGGGGCGAGAGCAGGGTAAGGAGCGGGGTGAGGGGCCTGGGAGCCATCCAGAGGAGCTGGGCTCTCGTCCCCAGGAGGTCTGAGCCAGGGCTGTGCCAGGTGGTGGCTGATATACTACCAGTATATGAAGGAGGACAATCGTGAGTGGCCTTGTCTGCAGCAAGGGCCCAGGCACTAACGGGAGGCCAACCGTGCCCACAGGTCACCCGTGGGTGAGGCCGAGAGCTGGCTGACCCCTCACTCTGGCCTCCCAGAAGACCTGGGTCAGGACCTTCTCGTTTCCATTTGGAGAGACCCAGGAATTGTTGGCCTTGTGGTCCTCTGTCCAGTGCCCGAGAAGTAGGGTGGACAGAAGGCCCCTATGGGGATAACTCGGCCTGCAAGTCACTCACAGTTGGACACCCTGTCTCGGGTACCACTGTCCTCCCTGGAGAGAAGCCTTACTCTGCCTGTCAGTCTGCCATGGACGTGTCCACCCATGCCTGTGACAGGCCAGCTGGGGGCAGTGCCTGCTCTGGGGGCCCATGGCCAGAGAGGAAGGTGGGCAGACACAGCCAGGGTCCTGCACCAGGTCTATAGCTGGAGGTGCAAGCCCGTCCTTCTCCAAGTGAACCATACCTGTGACTCTGTGGGGGGAGAGCCGGACCCCAGGTCACTGTGGGGGGGGATCAGGACCCTACGTCACTGTGTGGGGGGACCCTGTGTCACTGTGGGGGAGGAGCCGGACCCCAGGTCACTGTTGGGGGGAATCAGGACCCTGAGTCAGTGTGGTGGGAGAGCCAAACCCTACGTCACTGTTGGGGGGGGCCCATGTCACTGTGGGGGGAGAGCCGGACCCCACGTCACTGTAGAGGGGGAACTGGACTGGAAAACATCATGCTAAGTGAAAGAGGCCAGACTAGAAAGTCAAGAATTGAATGATGGTTGGGGAGAGCCGGACCCCATGTCACTGTTGGGGGGAATCAGGACCCCAAGTCACTGTAGTGGGAGAGCCGAACCCTATGTCACTGGGGGGGCTGGACCCCACATCACTGTCGGGGGGGCCCGTGTCACTGTGGGGGGAGAGCCGGACCCCACATCACTGGCAGGTGTGAAGAGCCAGACCCCATGTCACTGTGTGGTGGGGGGGAGAGCCAGACCCCACGTCAGTGGGGGCGGGGAGCCGGACCCCACAGGCCAGCCATGGGCTGTACCTGCTCTCGGGGCCCACGAGAGCCAGACTGTGGTCCATAGACCCACCGGTCTTCCCTCCTGCTCTGGAGCACCAGTATCATGCTCTGACGCCAACATAAACCCAGAATCACATGCTCAGCCCAGTCTCTGGGAGTCTGTTCAGTGCTCCTCTTGAGGTTCATGAAACCCAGACTGTGGCACTTCCTCAGAGATGAGCTTCTCTCTCCATCTCTAAGCTACTTTTGCTGCTGTTGTTTTCCTGTGGACCCAGAGCTTTATTTTGCATATACAATCTTCAGAAGCCTGGTTCTTGGTAGCTAAGCAGTAACTTTGCCCCAGACGTAAGGGTAGTTTGAAAGGTCAGAGATGCCATCAGTGTGTGTTAGGACTTGGACTCTCGTTTGTCCCTGGTCATGCACTTGCCCCGCCCCGCCCCACCCCAAGGCCTGCACCTTCCACCTGTGCAGATGTGCAGCAGGTGAGCCAGGAAGCCCTGCTCTCCGAGGGAGACTCCCTACAGGTGTGGCTTCCCAGGCTCCCCTAGGTGGTGCCACAGGGTGGGATACCTTAGCAAGCAATCCACAGATTTAGTGCATCCCTGTCAAAATACCAGTGACATTCTGCACAGAAGTAGAAAAAACAGTCCTAAAATTCATTTGGAAGGATGAGAGAACCAGAGTAGCCAAAGCAGGCTGAGCAAGAGGAGCAGCACAGAGGCGGCCCAGCACCTGGCCTCGGGCTGTGCCACAGGGGACCGGTGGAGAGAAGACCCGAGACACGCCACCGACTCAGAGCCGTCTGACCCTCGACAGTCGCCAAAAACATGCACTGGAGAAAAGACAGCCTGTTTAACAAAAGGAGCTGGGCAAACCGAAAATCCCTATGTAGAGGGATGGAACTAGATCCCCATCTCACCCTGCAGAAAAGTCAACTCAACGTGGATCAAAACCCTAGGAATTAGACCAGAAAATTTCTGATTGTCATAAGAAAGCACAGGTCAGCTTCCTTAACAAGACTCCTAAAGCTCAAGAAATAACACCAAGAATTAATAAATGGGGGTGGCATCAGATTAAAAATCTTCTGCACAGTGAAGGAAATGAGCATATGGAATGAAGGAGATCTCTGTCAGCTACTCTTTCAACAGGAATTAATATCCAAAATACATGAAGAACTCAAAAAGCTTAACACCAAAAATACAGAGAGCCCACGCAGTCGACAGGCAGAGGAACTGAGCCAGCATTTCTCAGAAGAAGGCGTTCCCCGATGGCCAACAGGTGTGTGAAAAGGGTTCCACATCCCTAGCAACCATGGGAATGCAGACCAGAACCTCTGAGAGTTCATCTCACTCCTGTTTGAACGGAAACGATCAAGACTGCAAACCATAATAAACACCGGCAGGGTTGTGGGGAATAGGTACACTCATCCATCGTTGGTGGGACTGCAAATTAATACAGCCACTTTGGAAAGCAGCGTGGAGATTCTTAAAGGAGGGTCTGTATCTGGAAGATCTGAAGTCAGCGTTCTACAGTGATATGGGCATACTGATGTTCATAGCAGCACGGTCCCAGGGCCAAGCGGTGGAACTGGCCCAGGTGTCCATCAGCAGAGGAGTGGATAAAGGAAATGTGCATATACGCAGTGGAGTTTTACTCAGTTGTAAGGAAGAATGAAGTGATCTCTCACTGGTGAGTGGACGGACCTGGAAAACATCCTGTAAGTGAAAGAGGCCAGACTGGAAAGCCCAGGATTGGGTGATTTCTCTCATATACAGAAGTCATAGGAAACTAAGGAATTTTTAAAAGGGAAATATCATGAAAATAGAAGGGAGAGCAATAGAGGAAGGGGATTTGGGGAGAGAGGAGGGGAAGGACAGGGGGCTGCAGAATGGAGCTGACCGCACTGTGCTGTGAACACTGTGAACGGATCCCAGGACTCCACTTTAAGTCCCTCTGTAATGGAGAGAGACCTAAAATCACAGAAGGAGGGCCAGAGAGGAAGAGATCTGGGGGCGGGGAAGGAGGGGAGGGAAATGAGCAGATTTTGTCCTGTGCACGTGTGAATGTGTCAGAATGCACCCCGCTGTCCCACACGCTGCGGTGCACTAACCACCAAGAGGAGCCAGCCGGTGCTGCCTGCCAAGGGTGCCTTTCTCCACAGCGTTTGCATCTTATGTCTAACTTGGTCAGCCTGGTGGTTCCTGGGCTCCGGTTGGAACTGCCCCAGCTTGAGCCCTGGCCCCCCAGCAGGCCCTGGCCAGGAGCTTCCTCAGCACAGGTGTCGGGCACGGGGCCTGCCCCCTCACTGCCGAGGCTGGACTGAGCCTTCTGCAGTGCCCGTGCCGCAGCGTGCGGTGCTGGGCTGTTGTCACTCCTCTGCTGTCTCCACAGGTGCTGTGCAGGTGGGTCCTGAGTGTGAAGAAGAACTACCGGAAGCATGTGGCCTACCACAACTGGAGGCACGCCTTCAACACTGCCCAGTGCATGTTCGCTGCCCTGAGAGCCGGCAAGATCCAGGTGCGCATGGAGCCGCTCAGAGCCAGTGCCCGGGAGAGGGACAGCAGAGTCTTCCAAGTCCTTGTAATGTGCACTAGTGGGGACTGGAATCAGCTGCCTGCCACTTGGAGAGGGCGCGTTTGTCGGAAAGCCTGGGATAGCAAAGCGCCTCGTGGCTCACTGTCACACAGTACGAGCGGCCACGCAGACCCTTAGGAAACCTCTTGTTATCCAGAATGCTGTAGGAAAGCCGTCATCTCCTGTGGCAGGCAGTGCTGGAGGGGTGAGAAGTCCCACCTTCCGTGCTCCCCTCCGCCCCAGGCAGAGCAGCGCCCCCCAGAAGCCGCCCACGGCTAGTGGGCCTCTTGGGGACCCCGGGCTCTCCACTGCCTCCTCTGCAGCACTCAGGTGACTCCGAGGGCACCTTGTAGAAAGGTCTGCTTCCTCCGACACTGACCCGGGACTGGAGGGAGATGCAGACGCAGTGCAGGCCATCGCTCTTCCCAGCCCCATCTCACCCCATCTCTGTTGAGATCCTATCCCAGCAGGGATCAGCAGTCGTCCTCCGTGTCCTGCATGCATCCCAGGCCTCCGTTCGTCCAGACTCCTCACTCTGCTCTGTAATGAAGTCACAGCTCTTGTCTGTCTCACATGGCTAGATCTGAAAGCAGGAAAGGCTGGGCCGCAGCGGTGGTGGAGCGCTGGCCCAGCACGGGCGTAGAAGGGACTGCTGACCTAGAGGCTGTGCAGATGCTGGACAGCGTTTCCCTGCTGGGGCAAACGTTCACGAGACTTAGGAGACACTTAAGCAGAGGGTGCTCAGAAGCAGGGGTCTTTGTGGGATCTGAGAAACCTGTTGCGTAGCACTGAGCGATCCCGCAGGAGGGCCTGCGCCAACTCCAACTCGCATCTGGGAGCCCCGAGGCCGTAAGGCAGACTCAGAAATGACCCACGTTTGGCTCAGGAACACGGCATTGAAGTCTGGAAGGCCAGGTTTTCTCCCTGGCCGTCTTGTTTCTGCCCATGGCCGTCAGGTTTTCTCCCTGGCCGTCTTGGAGTTCCCATGCCCACATTGCCGAGTGGGGCCGCGGCTGACAGGTGAGGGAGACAGTCTGCAGGGACTGAAGGAGGGAAAGTGGATTAAGGCTTGTCACAGGGTTCCCCAAACACACAGAGTGAACAGTCAGTGGCCTGGGGCTGGGGTGTGGCTCAGGGCTCAGCCCTTGGCTGGCTCTGGGGTCCTTCCCCAGAATCCCCCCAAATGATATTTCCTCGGTGTGGACAGATGGCGACTTTTGAGACTCCTTGGCTTCTGTCTGAGGGGCACTGTGGTGCCCTGCTGCGGGTGCCTGCATGCAGCTTTCTCAGAGTGGGTCCTGGGGAAGCAGCGCAGCGCCCTCACGCCTCTCTCCTCCCCGACACCCTCAGAGCCGGCTGACCGACCTGGAGGTCCTGGCGCTGCTGATCGCCGCGCTCAGCCACGACCTGGATCACCGCGGCGTGAACAACTCCTACATACAGCGGTGAGCGGCCGCCCGGCCACACGGGAGCGTTCTCTGCCTTTGTGGGGCGTGTGTTTAAAGTTAAAGCCACAGAAAGAAGTGGGTGGTGGGAGTCTCAGCTGAGCTCCTTCCATGCACATGGGCTGTATTTAGGGGAACGACCAAGTGCAGCACTGAGCTGGCCAGCTCCCCAGGCCACAGGCTCGGGTGCTGCAGTGAGGATGGTGTCTCGTTGGCAGTGGCGGGAGCTGGGCCTCGGTGCGTGCACTCCCAGCGTAGGAGCATCTCTAGAGAACTACCAAGGCTGTGGGGGGCAGCTTCCCCTGGAGCAGAGAGGACAGTGTGGACGTGTGCTTCCCTGGCCGCGCTCTGGACAAGGCTTCTGTGGGTCAGGGGAGGCACCTGGCACGGTTATGGAGAAGGAGGCCTCGTGGCCAGATCTGAGTTCCAAGTCCACTCCCCTGCACAGTCCCCCTGTGGCCTTGGCCAGGGAGCTGCAGACGGAGAAGGTGCAGCCACCTCAGGGTGGCGTCACCGCACCCAGGCCAAGGGGAAGGCCGGGGCAAGTTGTGTGAGTTCAGTAGCAGATGCTAGAGACGCCGAGTGGCTCTGGAACCTGCCCTGGTGTCCTGAGGGAGGACCCTAGGCCTGGACCAGAGCTTCTGACCTCAAGGCCATCAGCGAGTGGTGCACCCGCTGCAGGCCCCATGGAGAGGCGGCATCAGCCCTCAGCAGACGGTGGAGCCTCTGCGACTTGTTATTTTCCTATAGCACCTTGGCTGAAAGGTCCACCTCTTGGTGCAGAACCTCTCTCTACGAGCATCCTCCAGTGGCACAGGAGTGAGCTCTCGGGAGTTCTGGGGGACCAGACGTCCCGCAGCTTGAGAAGGCTCTGCTCCCGGCCTTTCTCTGCGAGGCCCCAGAGCTTCCTGTGGAAAGCATCGCGTGACGTGCAGCCGTGTCCTGTGCTGACCCTGGGCTCCGGTCTGGGGTCGCAGGCTGCTGGTCCCTCTTGAAAACCTGCCTTTTGGAGAACCGGAAGGGTGACAGGTCCTCTGTCCCCTGCACTTCATCCTGATTCTGACTTAAGAGAAGTTATGAAAGGGAACAACGTGGACAAGAAAAGGTTCCCAGCATAGTCGAGCCACAGGTGAGGTCTCGGCAGCATGACCTGAAGAGCAGTGGGCACGAGCTGAGAGGGACCCGCCCGTCACAGAGCCCAGGTCTTCTCGTCACCGGGCTGTTGGCACAGAGATGATGCCCTGCTGCTCTGCCTGACAGTGAGGAAAATCCACTCAACTATTTTTCCTTTGTTTATATAAAAATAATTACCAGATAAACATCTGGAGGAGCGTCATCCTGTCTTAACAACAACAAAAATTCCTGGGAAAAAGTCGTAGGGTGCTGAATGTTGCTCAGATCAGACGTGGGCCAAATGATGGCTTTCTTAAAAAAGTCGAGTTTCAGAGACGTTCATCTCTTCCTGTGGTTTTTCAAAGAAGCAGCTAAGAATTCCCCAGGGTTTTCTCTTTCCTTCTAGCAAATGGGCCATACTTAAAGTTGGGTCCTCCTCAGGGGGCTCCGGGAGAAGAGCTCCCTGGACATCCCCCTAGAGAGCCCTGTCTTCCGAGGGGTGGACCTGGGGCAGACCCCACTGGACGTCCGACTCCTCAGTAGAGAAAGTCAGAGCGCCAGAGGCGCAGAGGGGCAGCAGTGGGCAGCAGGAGCTCTGGGCCGACAGGACCCAGCGCTGAGCCAGGTCCTGGAGCCCCCCAGGAAGGCCCTCCCAGGCACCCCCAGGCTGTGTCTGACACTGTGGCTCACCATCCGCGGCCAAGAGGGCAGCTGTGTGGGGTCTCACAGGCGCCCGGAACATGGGGACAGGAGCACTGCTCGTGCCTGCCTCTCCCACAGCACGGTGGTTGAGGGAAAGCGGGGTCTCGGTGGAGGTGGGATGATCACTGCAAGAGCAGGCACTGGGGACCCAGGGGGGGGTGCAGGCTGTACACGAGAAAGCACAGTGTGGCCCTGGGTTTCAGAGGGAAACGTCTGCGGTAGGTGCTGTGGCTACAGGAAGACCGTCTTGGCCGTGTTGGCAGGATTCGGCTTTGGAGGTGAGGAAATGACATGGGGCAGTGCCCTGGCCGTCAGACCGAGGGGTAAGGAGCAGCTGTTGGAGTGTGGCCCTTCCCCTGGCAGAAGGGCTGCAGTCATAGGTGTGGGTTCCCTCTTTAGGCCACAGTCCAAGAAATGATGATGACCAGTACAGACAGCACTGAGTGAGTCCTGCCTGTGTGACACGGGGACCGTTGGGTGCTGGAGAGCGAGACTGGACCTGCCAGTGTGGCCACCTCCACTGCTGGAGGAGGGAGTGTCGGCCAGGACCAGTAAGGTCCAGCTCCACTGCTGGAGGAGGGAGTGTCGGCCAGGGCCAGTGAGGTCCACCTCCACTGCTGGAGGAGGGAGTGTCGGCCAGGACCAGTGAGGTCCATCTCCGCTGCTGGAGGAGGGAGTGTCGGCCAGGACCAGTGAGGTCCAGCTGCTCTGCTGGAGGAGGGAGTGTCGGCCAGGGCCAGTGAGGTCCATCTCCACTGCTGGAGGAGGGAGTGTCG